GAATCTCAACTATGAGGCAGATGGAGCTAGACTGAAAAATACTCAGCTTTGTTTCATGAGACAAGGGCCAACTGAGACAAGGTGGAAGGTACTTCAAAGTATTCCCACTATGGGAGGTTGTGAGGTTGGTCAGGCAAGAAATTGGGAAGCAGCCCTTTCACACTTCAGAGACACACACACCAGTGCCATCTCCTGACAGGCACCAACTCCAGAGCCCAGAAAATAGCTAGGAATAGGAAACTCATAGCTATGGAGTTTGTTGAGGGTTTTTGTTGTTTTTATTTTTGTTTTCTTCATGAATTTCCCATTAAATAGTAAGCTCCTGGGAGGCAGCAATTGTGACTGTTTTATTTTCTATGTTGAACCTGAGCACAATGTTTAGTCCACAAAAAAAAAAAAAATTATATATATATATATATATAAAATACCAGCAATTTGGGAGGCTAAGGCAGAAGGATTGCAAGTTTCAGGCCAGCCTCAGCAACTTAGCGAGGCCCTAAACTACTTAGTAAGACCAGTCTCAAAAATAAAATAAAATAAAATAAAGAGCTGGGGAGTAGTTCAGTGGTAAAACATCCCTAGGTTGAAGCCAAAAAAAAAAAAAAAAAAGAAGAAGAAGGAAAAGAAAGAATGTGTGGAACCATGCAGAGAGGGTGATCAGTCCAATTAGAGGCCAGAGGTTCTGGAAAACACCAGGGAGGTTTAATTGATAAATTGTTTGAGGCATCTGAATGTTAATGAGAGACATTTAGATAGAGTTTGAGGTTGAATAAGTTACAAATGAATAAAAAACTGAGTACAATAAAAAGATCATTGTCAATTTTAAGGAATAGGATACAAGGCAAAAACTTGCAGGAAAGGATAAGTAATTATAGTTTTACTGTGTAACTTAGCTTAAAATAAACACAAATACTGGTGTTGCCCAAATGGCAATCTAATCCTATTGGGAAGCTGGAGAGTGAGAACTGTGCTGATTTGTTCTCTACTTCTGGAGCAATTAGGCAACACACAGACCACAACCAACTAAACAGTCAAGAAGCCACACAAGCCCAATAAAGAAGGGCAGATAAGTACTTATAGGAAGTGGGTACCGTGACACATGCCTTTAATCACAGTTACTGTGGAGGTTGAGGCAGGAGGATTGCAAGGCCAGCCTCAACAACTTGCTTCCTGAAAATTCCTTGGGTGTCCAGCGTCATCTGTCCTACATCATTATAATTATCTTTTCCTATTTTGAGCCTTGTCTTTTTACTGTCTGTCTTTTGATAAAAATTTTGCATCTATCCAAATTTATCGGTCTTGGGGAGAAAAGATACCCCCAAATCCCTGGTTGCACCTGGAAGCAGCATCTAGTCAATCCAAGGGGAAGAATTGATGATGCCTGGAAAGGATTATTAAATCTGTGGCTCTTGATTCATCTAGAGAGAATCTCTCTGCTGTGTTCCCTCACAGCAGGGGTTGAGACAGAAGTTATCCTGTTTGATTCCTCTAATGTAAAGTAGACTGTTCACCTCACCATTTGTTCCAGTCAGCGAGGATAATTTTAAAACTCCAGTTGGCCACCTGGTCACATGCCTGTATTTCCTTCACAGTTGTTCCTAAAATAGACTTCTTATAACAATCCCCATATGAGCACATTTTAAATTAGTTGTCCACAATATGCAAATCTGGACACTTTCACATTGATTTTATTCACAAGATAACCAACTGGTTTGTAATAAATGCAAAAAGTAACTCATAAACCCTCCTCCCAGTGACTCCCCAATTTAAAATTCAGTCTCTAAAGTATTTTCTTTTTCCTGGATTTAACAATAATATTTTCCTTTTTAAAAAGTAAATGAATTCTTATCAAACAGTGGAAACAATCACAGCATCCCATCAAAGAAGAATGGATAAATACAATGGAATAATATTTAGCCCTTAAAAAATGAAGGAAATTCTGATACTATGACATGAACTTCAAAAACATGCTAAATGAGAGAAGCCAGACTAAAAGGACACATTAAATGGTTCCACATACTTGTGATACCTAGGCCAGGCAAATTCATAGAGACAGAAAGCAGAACAGAGGTTACCAAGGACTGGAGGATGAGGAGATGGGGAATTACTGCCTAATGGGCATAGTTTCTGTTTGGGATAATGAAAAATAGACTATGATGATATTTATACAACATTATGAATGTAATACAACTGAACGTGCACTCTAAAATGGTTAGTTGTATGTTATGCATTTTTTTACCACTTTTTTTTTAAAGGAAGAAGATTGGGCTAGGGTTGTGACTCAGCAGCAGAGCACTCACCTAGCACATGCAAGGCCCTGGGTTCTATCCTTAGCACCACATAAAAATAAATAAATAAAGGTATTGTGTCCACCTACAACTAAAAAATAAATATTAAAATAAGGAAGAAGGTCAAGAGTAGGAACATTAAAAGTACTCAGGCTGGCAGACTCTTCCTGCATGTGCTATGTCCTCAAATGTGCACACCTATGTGTCCAGGCAAGTACATGTGTCGGGAACAAAAACTAAAATGAAAAAATAACTCTTGTTTAACTAACTAGTAAAGTATTATATAAAAGGAAACCTTAATGTCTTTGCATTTTTACTATATTCAATATACAATCCTTTCCTTCAAATTGAATAAATTACTTATTAGCTAAAGAAAAGAGAATGGAAGTTTGGAATCGGCATTCTAGATACTGAAGGGCCAAGTCACTTGGACCATGCCCTTCCTCCTTACTACTTTCTAGAAACCCATGAATCTACCCTACACTCACACAAAGAGGTTCCTGTACAAATTGCAAATCTACATTTTGTCATTCTCTGGAATCCCTGAAGTTCATGTGTAGACTACGTATTGCCCACAACCCCAGTTTGCAAAAGCAGACTCTCCATTCTCTTACCACTTTCCTCACCCCCAGCACACACACACACACACACACACACACACGGGCAAAAACATCTGACCATGCCAAAGTTCCAATCCTATGGGTATAGATGGTGACTTCTGTGTTCCTAAGGCAAGTGTCAAATATCAGTGGTCTAGCTCCATGGTAGAAGAGGACATGGTGTCAAGTGGGCCAAGAAGTGCCTTCAAAGCCTCTGCTATCAAGGCTTGGGGTTCAAGATGACACCTCCTGCTCATGCTTGTGACTTGGCAAGAGCAGACTGTATAGCAGAAACTCTCCCAATAAGACTCCCTCAACTACTTTGCTCTCTCTAACCTGTATCCTATTTATGAGTTTTCTATATCTTTAAACTTTCAAATTATTTTAAGACATTAACCATTTTAAAACATGTGAGTATGTGACATTTGATAACATTCACAATGTCTTGTAAACTCCAGCTATGTCAAATACCAGAATATTTTCATCACCCAGAAAAGATGTAGGCTTATAGGAACACGTGGTCAGACTAAAGCACCTATGAAAATCTGAAGTCCCTGAGCATTTGGGGCCAGAGACCAGGACCAGGCTGTGTTCCGAGTGTGGAACACACTGGCAGATGAGGAATGTTCACCAATGCTATGTTTCTTCTTGGACAAACAGGAATACTCCCTGCCTGACCTCTCCTCAGATATGCTGGCCCATGTAATTGTGTTCAGCCAGTATCCTGAGGATCATACCATTCCAGATCTCCCCATGAAAACATTCCCCATTCCATCTCCTCCCACCTTCTTTCCTTCTGCAGGGACCAGGGACTAGAGCAGGTGGAGCAAGTTGCTGCCTCAGTTCTCAGAGGGCTTCATTCTTTGTTCTGTGACTCTGCAGCTCCTCTACTATAGACCCAGCTTCATTTCTCTCCTGAATCTTGTATGTTGCTACATGCAATAACTGCAGGAGTGGTGGAAAAGCCTTTGCTCTTTTCTGCTTTGCTTTGGCTGCTCTGCAATGATTTTGAACCCTGCCTGAGCTGGAACAGGATGAAATCCAGTGAAACTGGCACTTCAGCCAACCCAGGATATTTGAAAAGGCAACTTGAGACCCAGAATTCAACCCAGCCACTCCCTGCAGAACCTGCTGGCCCACAGGCTCATAAGCAAAGTTAAGGTTTGTCATTGTGTGTGTGTGTGTGTGTGTGTTATTTTTAATGAAACATTACCAGCTAGACTGTCGCCTGTTTGCTGGGCTGACAAGATGAGCTGGATTTAAAGGAGCTGGGTGCAGCAATAACTAAGAAAACAGCGGAGAAACCACACAACACATGAACACGAGTTTCAAGGGCGGGACTGTTCTGTGACCCCTGTCAGTCCAAGCTGGGGCAGCGCTGGAAAAAACAAGAAAGTGTACCCGAACCCCCCGACCCCTATTTATTGGGGAAAAGACATTTGCTAGAATGTTCCACCAAAATAAGGCAAGGGATAGAGTTTCAAAAGGTGGAGTCTTGCTTGGTGATATCTTGTGGTCAGCAGATTGATTGACATCTTGGCAAGTCACACCCATCTCAGGTACTGTGTGGGATCACAGGCAGAGCAAGAGGAAAGGCACACATGTGTCGCATAGCCCAATCAGCACACAATGCCAGACCAATCCCCTCATATACTCAAATGTGCATAGCTCACACACATGGCCTTTGGGTGGCTCACAACACTAGACAAATGAAGCACAGGCACCTCAGCCTGAATGGAGCAGAGCTCCTGGTATCTCCCCCAACTCTACCATTCAACACAATGAACTCAGATGTGTACTAGCAATGAGCTTTTGTTGTTTATAACTGAAATGTCAGGGTTTGTTTTTTTACTACAGTAGACTCAATCAGATCATGACTGATATACAAGTGACTTGGCCCTTCAGTATCTAGAATGCTGGTTCCAAACTTCCATTCTCTTTTCTTTAGCTAATAAGTAATTTATTCAATTTGAAGGAAAGGATTTTATATTGAATATAGTAAAAATGTAAAGACATTAAGGTTTCCTTTTATATAATACTTTACTAGTTAGTTAAACAAGAGTTATTTTTTCATTTTAGTTTTTGTTCCCCTGACACATGTACTTGCCTGGACACATAGGTGTGCACATTTGAGGACATAGCACATGCAGGAAGAGTCTGCCAGCCTGAGTACTTTTAATGTTCCTACTCTTGACCTTCTTCCTTATTTTAATATTTATTTTTTAGTTGTAGGTGGACACAATACCTTTATTTATTTATTTTTATGTGGTGCTAAGGATAGAACCCAGGGCCTTGCATGTGCTAGGCGAGTGCTCTGCCGCTGAGTCACAACCCTAGCCCAATCTTCTTCCTTAAAAAAAAAAAGTGGTAAAAAAATGCACAACATACAACTAACCATTTTAGAGTGCACGTTCAGTTGTATTACATTCATAGGTTGCACAAGAATGGATCTACAAATCCATTTTCCTCTTTCTGATGTCTTCCAAGACTTAGACCTCTGCCTTTATCTGCACCTAGTTCTTTCCTCAGACCTAGAAAAAGTAGACAGCCTGTCCCAAACAACTTGATTCCTCCTTTCTCTTGTACAGAAATTCTGACAATCCCTAAGATAGTTTCTTCTGAACCAAACTTTCCTCTTCTCCCAGTAGGTTCACCTTAACTCTAAGGTTTATGATTACCAAACTTCCAGAGCCAGCTAAATGAGGTGTAACCCAGGTCTGTTCCCCAAAAGTAGGGCAGGCCTTCAACGTTCCCCCTGATGTCAATCAGTGGCTAACTGCTGAGGCCACCCTGGAAATTCTCAGTTCTCTGGTAGCAGGTAAGTGGACGCAGGTGCAAGGGCGGGAGTCTCCTTGTAGGCCTAAAGTCTTAGGACCTTCCTAGGGCTCTCAAGACTGGAACGTTTTTGGTCCTTGACCCTTTTGTTATTTCAGGAATATAAACTTTTATAATCAGGGGAAGGAGCCTTTGCTAAAACTTCTGTTTGGGAATACAGGATTTCTGTAGTTTATGACCCTGGAAAGGGACCAAAGGATGTGACAAGGGGTCTAACTGCCCCAGGTGCCATGCCAATACAACAGATCTTCAGAGTGTTCATGATAGGGTATTGAGGGAGGGAAGGGATGTATATATTAATGCTTCATATAAATTATTCTATTAAACCTCAAAACAACCCCAGAAGGCAGGTTTTACTCTGTATAGTAGATGAAGACACATGGGCTCAGAAAAGTTAAGAAACATGCCTAAGGACTTACAACCAGAAAGGGGAAGAATCATGATTTAATTACATAATTCTGACCCTATTCCTCATATTGGTGGTAACCTGCTTCCCTCAAATGTGACAATAGAAAGACATACCCTTGAGCAGGGTCTTCATGGTTCCTGGGATTCTGGAAACTGTGGGTCCTTCACAATTCTTTTTCCAGGGCTGCTCTGAAGGTATGCATGCAGGTGTAGCTGTCTCTCCTGGACCTTGAATTTTCAACATAAAAGTCTCCCCATGGCTCCTTATCACATCCGCAAATACCAAGAGAGTGATCACAAAAGGGTCCTGGCCCTGTTCTCCAGTGGGATGACTGAACATATCCCCACCACCTTCTGCTACATGCTGATGCAGCCCCGAATCCTCTTGTTCTTATTTAGAGTGCCCTTCACCCTATTTCTGCTCACTGGCTCCTTATGGTCATGACCAGCTTTATCCTCCTGGCTTTCCTGTGGCTCCTGGCTATATACACCTGGAGGAAGTATATGATCATGTGTTTGTGCACAGACCTGGCTGACATCACCAACTCCTACATGAGTGCATGTGGATCCTGCTTCTGGGTAGCTGAGTCTGGGGGCCAGGTGGTGGGCATAGTAGGGGCTCTGCCAGTTAAGAATCCCCGCTTGCAGAAGAAGAAGTTGCAGCTATATCACCTCTCTATGGCCTTGGAGCACCGAGGTAAGGGGATAGGGAAAGCCCTGGTCAGGACAGTCCTCCAGTTTGCAGAGGTCCAGGGCTACAGTGAAGTTGTTCTTAGCACCGTATGCTGCAGTATGCTGCCCTGGCTCTGTACCAATGGATGGGCTTCCAAAAGACAGGCCAATCCTTCTTCACTAGGATTTCAAGGCTAAGGAATACTCCTATGATTCATTTAAGGTACCGCCTCCCTTGTGCTCAGGAAGGGGGCCTGTGCTATTCACCCTGCACTCTTGTCACAAGCCAAAGTCCAGGTTCCTAGTTCAACAACAAGGTATATCACAGTCAGGCTTCTCCCTGCCCAACTCTACTGGTCTAAGAAAAATCTATCCATGGCAGTCTCCACACTAACCTCCTCTCCTTCACTCAGCTAAGCTGTTGTTGCACCTCCTGGGCCACAGGTATCCTTTTCAGCAGCCAGCAGTGCTGACAGGCTCCTGGCGTGGGTTGTTCAGGGCCAACACCAACACACTTCTTATGTATTTTAGCTGAGGATGTATCCAAGATAGACAAATGCAAAACAAAAGCACAAAATTACTTCTCATGGATGCTTCCAAAACTGAACTCAACCTGCCATGGGCCCTAACCTCACAGACAAGTAAAAAATATAGCTTTCTCCTCCCATGACTTTCTGAGCAAAATGACACAGAATCCAGCATTGGTTTGAAGTATTTCACTCAGGCTTATTATGAGCCAGGGGCCAATGGGCATTCAGGATGAGCAGAGATGTGGCTCAGATGAGGTCTTACATCAAAGGAGCTTCTTAGGAATATTGGGTATCTGGGAGACAGGTGGATACCATCACAGTTGTGACAAGGGCCAGGAGGTAGAGGCAGATTCATGGGCTGCTGGGAGAGAAGATAATGAGGCTTCCCAGGGAGGAATCTTGAACTACAACCAAAGAGTTATTGACTTCTGCAGGCAAAGGGAGAAGATTTTCAGAGGGTAGAGAGGCAGCTGTCAACCCTGAGGCAGGACAAAGGCAAAACTTTTAGGAAATGGCCTCAGAAGGAGAGAGGGAGTAGGTAAAGTTGACTGGGATCTGGCCAAACAGGGCCTGCAGCATGGACCCTATTCCCAGAGTACAGGAGACCATAGATACATGTTTTTAACTGAGAATGAACATGATCAGGGATTTGGGGGAGAGACAAGGGTGTGTGTGTGTGTGTGTGTGTGTGTGTGTGTGTATACATGCGTCACTGTGACTGCACATGGAGAATGGATCTGAGGAGACAGGAGTAGAAGCAGATACCCTAAGAGGTAATTGCAGAAATAGAGTGAGATACAGGCCCCAGGTATAGGTGGCAGGTTGTTTACTACAAGATCACCTGGACTAGGAGGGTTAGTATAAGTAAAATGGAGCCCGTGTCATTTGTCAAGGCAAGAAGCCTGGTTCTGCTATAGGAAAACAGAAGCTGGGGCCCTGTAGCTAGAACCCAGGCACCTTGTGGAGCCTGTGCCATTTGTCAAGGCAAGACCAAAAGAAAAGGCTTTGATTCTAATTTGCTCAAAGGCATTGTTTGCCCACTACCCTGCGTCCCATAGTCTGCATGACTTGAAAGATGGACCTTGGTCAGTGTTCACAAAGGAGTCAACTGGTCGACCAGGAGCCCAGGGGACATAATGGTGACTAGAACCAGAGAAAGGTGATCAAGATGGTGAGACCTGAACCACCTGGAGGTGCATTTTGGGATAGAAATGGCAAGAATTGGAATCATTCACATGGGGATGAATACAAGGAAGGAGTCAGAAATGAGGGTTAGAATTGTGGCAAGAGCATCTCCAAGGATACTAGAAGAGGGAAGATTTTGAAAGATTAGAACTTGCCTATAGGTTCTGCTATAGGAAAACAAGCTGGGGCCCCTGTAGCTGGAACCCAGGCCTTGGTGGAGGCTGCTGAAATTCAGGATCTTAGAGCAGAGCTCAAGGTTAACTTAACATCACTTCTGGATGGTGAGTCCATGGGTTTTGTTACATTGTTCTCAGTACATTTAAATATTATCTTGAATGTTAAGCAGAAGTTAACCCCAAGAGGGGAGCAAAGGTTTTCAGGGTGCAGATTAATGCTCCTAATGAAAGTCTGTATAATATTAACCAGTCAGAACAAGTCAAGGAGAAGGGCAAGAGGCTGTGGTCTGTCCCTGTCCTTTGTCTCCCCAAGTGCTCAGTGGTTTTTGTGACATCCCCAAAACTTGATTTATGTTCAGGCTTTTCATACTTCCCAGACTTCTGGGTAGCATCCGCATTTTTTTGCCATTTATGTAAAGTTTTATTCCACAATCTAAAGTTTTTCTACTTTAAGTAGAAAATACAACTTTGTCATATATGAAATGTCTACACACACACACACAGAGACTTAATCCTGACTCATTTAACAACTGATAGCTGAGCATTTATTATATGCCAGATTATCAGAAACATTGTATGCTTTTAAAAATTTTACTGTTGCCTTATAGTTATATATAATAAAGGAGATAATTTTGACATATTCATACCTGCACAGAATATAGTTTGCTCTGTTTCAACTCCTAGTACTTCTACTTTTCTTCCCCTCCTCCCTCCCTCTGTTTCACCTTCTCTGCTCTATTATTATTTATTTTTAAAAATTTTTTAAATTGGTGCTTTATAGATATACATAAAGGTGGAATTTACTGTGGTATGTTCATATATGTACATAGCATAATTTGGTTAATTTCATTCTGCAGTTTTCTCGTCCCTCCTTCCTTGCCCTCAATCTCCTTTCCCTAGTCCACTAATTTCCTTCCTATTTTCATAGGCTCCCCTACCATTTTTATTTCCTTATTTTTTCTCTAGCTTCTGCATGTGCAAGAAAATATTCTATCTTTGATTTTTTTATTGTGGCTTATTTCACTTAGCCTGATGTTCTCTAGATCCTTCCACTCACCAGCAAATGCCATAATTTCATTCTTCTTTTTGGTTGTGTAAAATTCCATTGTATATATATTCTTTATCCATGGAATTTGTCCAAAAGAACTAGAATCAGTATACTATAGGGATGTAGATATTTCAATGTGTATAGCAGCACAACTCACAATAGCCAAGTTATGGAACCACTATCTGCATTTTTTAGGCCCTCCCTGTCAGGAATGACTCATTTTTTTAAATTAAATGTTGGATGTATGGCTGACATACCTGGTGGGACTCAGGACACCCTCATGGTGGAGACATCTAAATACATAAGAACTTTGGTAGGATATTGAACTTGATAGGACTTTTATGTTGCAAGTGTGAAAAAGTTACCTACACTTGGCTTAAGAGAAATAGAGGTGATGGAATGGCTCCTGAAATTGGCAAGACCAGAATAAAGACAGGGTGACCTGAAGGTGGGTTTGACCTTGTGGCTTTTTTTCTACTCTGGTTGCAGGGTCAGCATCCTTCCAAGACTTGCTGCAGTTGGATGTAGAATGCTCTCCAGCTGTAATTGAGTCTGTAGACATCCTCATTTGCCAACAACTGAAAGGTGAGGAATTATGCCCCAGTACTGCCAATGTCAGTAGATCTCACATAGTCAGTTTCAAATTTACTCACATTTTCTGGGGACTAGTTATGTGCCTTGACCAGAAGGGGCTGGGGTTATCTTTAAAGGGTTCCTGTCCTAAGGACACCAGAACCCTAATGGAGACTGAGGACCAGGTGTGATCCCAGGAAACTGGAACTCCAATAGACATAGAGGACCCCTGGGTGCTAAAGGGTAGTGTTATGGGGTGACCACTCAAAAAACACACTAAGTCCAAATTTGAAACAAATCAAAGAATTTTATTTAACCTATCTTTTCCTGGCCAGGGATGCTTCTGACAGGGTCCAATTGGCTCTCTGAAAGAAGCATGCCGGGCTGTTTGTGCTCCAAATATTTAAAGAAGAAAACCACATCCTCTGGAATTTTGCAAATTACAAGCAATCAGACTACAGGGGCTGAGAATGCAGTTAGCAGAGCAAATACAGACAAACACATCCTGGGGACTTTACATTGTAGGTGCACATAGTGCAGAAGAACAATTTTTTTATCATTTTAAAAATAGCTCATACATATTCCACTGTCATTTATTTTTAAAAAATCAATAAAAAACATTCTGCTGTCATTTTTTAAATCAATAAAAATAGCTCATACAATAGTTTCACGTGGGAACCCATAAAGATGGAGTCACTATGACTATACTTACTATTTCATTAATCTATATTTTCTATTCTATAACCTATAACCTATAACTCGTATTGATTAAATCAGACCACAACAGTACCAATGCCCATAGGAGGGAGGCCCTCTGTGTTCTCAAGTGTGTGTGCACTCCAGTATGGATGGAACACCCCTGGGAGCCCAGGAATACCAGCACTTAATGGAGATGAAGGACCACTGGGAGCCCAGGGTAACTACAACTACATCAAGATACAGGATCACTGTGATCCAAGATTACTGGAATTCCGACAGAGAGAATGAACTATTATTAGCCCAAAGACATAAGCACTCCAATAGAGATGTATGACCACTAGGAACCTTTGAAGTGATAAAGATGAAAGAACATATGCTGCAAAGATACTGGCACCCCAATAGAAAGGGGGAAACACTGAGCCAAAAGGTATAAACATTGTGCTAGAGATGGAAGATCACAGGGCTGGGGTTGTGGCTCAGCGGTAGAATACTCACTAAGCACGTGCGAGGCCCTGGGTTTGATCCTTATCACCACATAAAAATAAATAATAAAATAAAGGTTAAAAAAATAAAGAATAATAATTTAAAAAGGAGATGGAAGATCACTCTGCACTAAGGAGTTGTGGAGATGACTCATGTGTGAGCATTGGTTATAGAGAGGGGTGCCTTGAAATTCAGGGTTGGGCACTGAGTGATATAAAGTATACATTAGTGGATTTATAAAGATGATAAGACCCCAGAGAGCATGAGCCCCACTCTGCACTGTTTCTGAGTGTGCTTATTATAGGATAGGCAGGAGGAAGAGGTGGCTTGTGGTGATGATGAGTGATGGGAAAAAAAGAGGAAACTGGAGAACACGTTATAATTTTAGGATCCCTAACTTCTCAGTGAATACTGAAATAAGTGAGGTAATGTGTGTCACTTGGTTCTATTGGTTTCCAGAAGAAAATATAATTTTCCAATTTAATATGAACCAAATTAGACCTTAATCTCCATAAAGTTGCTCTGACTTCCTGGGAGGCCACAGCTATATTCACAGACCTGGAGCTTGTGACCACAGTCACTTCTGTCCCTCCTTTTACTCCTGACCACATATTCAGTCCATGAGTACTGAGATCCCTTTCTTAGGCCCCTTCCTTCTTCTTGCCATATCACCATCTGGTTTAGATCTTAAACTATGATGGCAGCATCCACAGTGAGATGCAGTGGGAGATACGAATCTGGGAGAATCATTTTCTCTCTTATTATTGTGGTAGAGGCACATTTTCTAACAATTAAGTTTCATGGGTACTAGCGCGTTGCAACAAGATGCCTGTGCCAGAGTAAACTATGTGTACACTCAAATGATTGCATTAAGAGAACATTTTTTTTTAAGGGGAAATAGGAGGATTATGTAAGACCTGCTGAAACAATAATTAAAATCCAGTAGGTCAAAGAATCTTTAACCAGACTGGTGCCACTCCCTGTTTGAACTCAGTCATTGGACAGATGTTCTCACAGAAGGATTTGCTATAGAAGGTTGTGGTAGGCTGGGCACAGTGGCGCATACCTGTAATTCCAGTGGCTCAGGAGGCTGAGGCAAGACGATTTCAAGTTCAAAGCCAGCCTCAGCAACTTAGCAAGGACCTAAGCTACTCAGTAAGACCCTGTCTCTAAATAAAATACAAAAAAAGGGCCTAGGGATGTTGCTCAATAGTTAAGTGCCTCTGGATTCAATCCCTGGTATAAGAAAGGTTGTGATGGCCTCTGTGCAAGTTGTGGCTCTAGCAGGGCCACCAGTAAATATTTCTTGTGATTGAACACACATCCATGAGACTGATCCTTCATAACCAGTCATCATTCTTAATTAATTTATCATTTTTGGTTAGTAACTGTAATTTGATTCTGATGACTTCCACAATATACAGTATCAGAAATTTACTAATACAACCATTTTTTAAAAAATATTTTTAGTTGTAAATCATCTTTTATTTATTTATTTATATGCGGTACTGAGGATTGAACCCAGGACCTCACACATGCCAGGCAAGTGCTCTACCACTGAGCCACAACTCTAGCCCCGAATAAAACCAATTTTAAGTGCACAACTAAAGAGACATAAAGGAACTTCTCAATGTTCTGCTATTTTAATGTCTGTTCTTTCCCCTTTTCAGTCCAGCCCTGAGCCTCAGTGCCCCAGAGTAGGAGGCTGAGTCATAATCCAAGGGCAACCCCAGGTCTCAGTCCTACAGTACAAACCTCCCAGGGCCCAAGACCTGCCACAAAGTCATGGCTGGGAAGATGCTGGCTAACCAGGCTGCCCTGCCTTTCTGGCCTGGGTTGCTGATGACATGGAGAAGAAGACAGGTGCTGGGGGGCAGGGGCAGGGCGATCATTGCAAGGGAAAGGATTCCTACACAGAGCAGAGGAGGGGCAGAAGGCCTTCACTTGAGCCTGAGGGCAGCCTCACTGTCTGCCCTTCTGCAGGCTGAAGTTCAGGATTGATGGTTTCGGGAAGCTGTGTCCCAGCCTCCTTCTGACAAGAAGGAGGCTGAGCCAAACTTGGGGGTTCATTTTCTACATCAAATTCTCAAGTGATACTAAAAGGTTGAGACCCTTTGAAACTAGATCATATCTGAAATGTCTTCATTTGAAGAATCGGTGCTTCTAGTTCATTGTTGATTACTAAATGGTGGGAGGGGTCTCAGAGTCCCATGGGAAGCTGTTCTGAAATTGGGCATTTGTTCCAGATAATGCCAAAGGAAATAAATAAGGGGCATGCATGTGGCCTGGATGCAAAAGCTTTTGTGATCCAGATATTGTTTATGATGGTGAGTGATGGGCAATGAGGCCTATGAAAGGATCCAGGGAAATTCATAACCCAGCACCTTGAGCTATCTTAGCTAAAGTTCATTTCATTTTCTCTGAAATGATTTTTCTCCAGAAGAATACACAGATTTATTCAAGACACTAAGCACACTCTTTTTTTTCAGCAATTAAGAATAAGAGAAATTTTTCCCATAGTCATTGTGTTGGGCTTGAGTTATAATTTGTATCTGAAATGGCCCCCAAAGGTTCATATATTGAAGGCTTGGTCCCTCTGGTGGTATATCAGAAGGCAGTGAAAACTTTAGTAGGTGGCCTAGTTGGAGGTAGTAGGTGGGGAATGTTCCCTTGAAGCAGATATTGGGACACCAACCACTTGTGTGCTCTCTTTTTTTCCTGTCTGCCATAAGGTAAGCAGCTTAACTCTACCATGTGCTCCACACCATGACATTCTGTCTTATTACAGGCCCGAAGTGATGGGATCAAGTAACAAAGTGATGAAACCTCTGAAACCGTGAGCTAAAATAAATCTTTTCTCCCTGTAAGTTGATAATTTCAGGAATTTGTCACAGTGGAACTAACTAACAGAGTTTGAAAGTCCTGGTAGTTTGATAGAGGAGTCTCAGAGCATTGTTCCTAGAAGCAGGAAAGGGTGGGGGAAGGAATGAAAACTAAGAGAATGCATTTTCCCTGTTAGGAAAAAAAAGGTAAGAAAGCCAGGTGTGGTGGCACCTGCCTATAATGTCAGCTCCTTGGATGATGGAGGCAGGAGAATCCCAAGTTTGAGGTGAATATGGGCAACTGAGTGAGAATTTATTTCAAAATAAAAACAAACAGGGCTGAGGAAATAGCTCAGTGGTAGAACACTTGCTTAGCCTGTGTGAGCACTGGACAATCTGTAGTACTGTGATAAAATAATTTTAAAAAGGGAAGAAATATCCCCTCTCTGGTTTCTTTAGAAAATGTAAAGCTTCCTCTTTCCCTATGAGACATGTTCAAACCTTAATAGCTAAAACCAGCTTTAAACCAGAACACCCTCTCAAGGGACCTGGGTGCCCTCTTCAAAGAGGAACCATCCAGGGAGACAGGGCTCTGCCTCTCAGTCTCTGGGGAACGGAGGAACCTAACTTGGTTCTAAGTGGCAAATCTACCCCCTCATGAAGATTAAAGTCTCTTCTTACTTTGCTTAAAGCCACTTGGCAAACGGAGAGGAGCAGGTGCCCTAGATGAACGCAGATGATCATTGAGTGATCAGTGGTGCTGGTGAATCCTCTACTGGAAGATTGGTTAGTGTTTATGGGCACAGCGTGGAGTGTGGGTATCTGCTGGTTGTGTTAAAGGACAACTGCTCTTTCTCTCCTATGACCTCCTAGGTCTTCCCGGTGATGAACATCACAGAGGTCTAACGCTTCTCCAGTGATAAAATTGTTTTCTTTTTCTCTTGCCCCTGCAGAGAGACTCTCTAAGCTAGGAGGAGATATCACGGTTGTATTGTTGTCCTCATCTTTTGTTTTTTGTTGTTGTGGTACTGGGGTCCTCTGCCACTGAGTCACAACCCCAGCTCTTTTTTATTTTTTATTTTGAGACAGGATCTCACTATGTTGCTGAGGCTGGCTTCTAACTTGGGATCTTCCTGCCTTAGCCTCCCAAGACACTGGGGCCAAAGGTGTGCAAACACTACGCTCAGAGGAAAAATTCTTTTTATTTCTATTTCTCCATGGCCAGAGGACTTTATCTGGAGCCTCCCCAGCATAGAACAAGATTAGAACAAATATTCACTCATTGTGCTCCCGACTGGCATCTATTTCAACCATAGCAGAAGCTCTTAGAGGCTTCTTGGGACTCCACATGAGTTGAACAAGTGCCAGGTACCCTTTGTTCAGGGCCAGCCTGCACCCTCCTGCACTGCAGGAGACCAGAGCAAGCTTAGCCAGGCTACTCAGGGATGCTTTCCAGAAGGAAATCCTGGGTGTCTGGGGTCCCAAGAGAGCAAACCTGGGGATTGCACCACCAGAGGGCACTTTTGCTTTGCAGAAGAGTTGCGGGACTAGGTCTGGGTTTTTCCCCTGGTGAAGGGAAAGTGAATATGAATGCAAAGGAAGAACATGGATCCTCGCATCAGTACCAGATGAGGTGGCAGGGGTGGGAGGGATGATGCTGAAGGCATCCCAGGCAGGATTGTAGCCACTGATCTGCCTCAAATACTCAGGGATGATGCTTTGCATTTGGATTTCTTACTCTTCTCACACACAGGCTCTTTATTCAGCCAAGCCCTGTTGAAAAACAAGACAAAAGTGGGGAGGGTCAGAAGAACAGGTGCATACATTATTGATTTCATCAAAGCACAAATGAGACAGCCTGAAGGAACGGGATGGGTCGGTCAAGGCTATTAGGTTTGGTTATCAAGGCCAAGGGCAGGAGAAAACCATGACAGGAGGTTGAGGCCTTTGGTCCTAGACAACTTGTCTCTTGAGTTTGGACAAAGCCCATGAGCATGGTTAAGGGTTTCTGTGTAGGTGAAGTGAGTGTAGGCCAAGGCTGAATCCCAAAACTGGACAGGCTGTGGCCCAGGTGTCCCCTCAATGCTGAGAAGTAGGAACTAAGATGAGAAAGATCCTCTAACACTGCCTAAGGGGTAGAAGTTTATGGATCAGTATCACATTGACTCTCTGGGTGAGAGTTCTCCCTCTTGGTTAGGGAGACCAGTATGTGGCTCCAGGCCCTCAGGAACATGCCAGAGATACAGCTTAAGCATCTGGGAAAGGGTGACAGTCCTGCAAATATTGGCACTAACCTATGTCCCAACTCTCCCTTCTACAAGAAGATCTATCCTGAGGCACCTATGAAAAACTGAATATTTGGGGAAAGAGACTGAGACCAGGCTGGGTGCCAATAAAGGATAATTTTAGAACATTCACCTCTCTATGTCCTCCCCCAGAACCCACAGGAAGGCTCCATACACAACCTGCCTTCAGTGAGCCTGGCCCATGGTAATGGGCCCTGCCAGCACCATACCCAGGGTTTCCCTATGGAACATCCCCCTCCATCCACAGCCACCTCCCCACCCCTCTGCAGGGACAGGGAACTACAGTGAGTGCATTGCTGCCCAATTCTTCCCATAGAGCCACATCGTGCCCTCTGCTGTGGACTCTGCAGCTCCTCTACTTCTGAGCCAGCTCCATTTCTCCCTGGAGTCTGGAATGTGTCCACAAGTGACCCCTGTGAGGACATGGAGAAGTCTTTGTTCCTTTCTCATTTTGCGTTGGCTGCTCTCCAGTGACTTTGAGCCCTGCCTGAGCTGGCCTGCTGGGACAAGATGATGTACATGTTACCGGCGCTGCAGTCAATTCAGGACATCTCCATAGGTATTGTGAGACCCACAGAGCTGCCCAGCAGAGACCAGGAACAAAGACTGGCCCACAGACTTATAAACAATGTGTGTGCGAATTATTGTTTGGCTTTTTATAATACAGAATTACTATGGTGCTAGACACCTGAATCACTGTCACCTAGAAGCACTGAGTGGAATAGAAGCCCCCATATCCACACCTCGCCATCAAACATGTTGGACTCAGATGTTCACCGGCAATGAGTTTTCATCATTTGTGCCACCAAAATGCCAGGGTTTGCTTGTGCTACAGGATTGTCAATCAGATCCTGACTGATACACAAGACAATAGCTCATGGGCCTCCTTCCCGAGCAGATGGGAAGAAGTATGTTAAATGAATTGTAGAAATATCCAGTAGTCTAAATATCTTATCAAACAAGTACTTTCCTGTCTTCTGGAAGCCCATGCACAGGTAGAGGGTCAGAGTAGCCAGCTGTACCAAGCTAGTATCAAGGTCAACCTCACTGTAGCCCTGAACCCTCGCAAACTGGAGGACAATCATGACCAGGGCTTTCCCTAGTCCTTCACCTCAGTGCTCCAAGGCCACAGAGAGGTGAAACAGCTGCAGTTGCTTCCTCCCTGGGGGACGTCCTCCACTGGCAGAGCACCCACTATGCCTGCCACCTGCCCCCAGACTCAGCCACCCAGAAGCAGGAATCACGGGCCCTCAGGTAGGATTTGGTGATGTCAGCAAGGTCTATCTGCAAACACACGTCCACATACTTTCTCTAAGCCTGCCTGGCCAGCATAGGAAAAGCCATAGGAAAGCAAGGAGGGCAACATTGGACACAAGAGCCAGGAGCCAAGACCTTAGGCTAGGAGTAGGGTGGTGGGCACCCCAAATAAGACCAGGATTGTTTTTGGCAACTTCGGTATGTGGCAGGAGGTGGCAGGGATGTGCTCAACCATCCCTTGGGAGAATAAGTCCAGGACTCTTTTGTGGTCAGTCTCCTGGTATTTGTGTATATAATGAGGTGCTATGGGGAGACCTCTGTGTCTGTAGTTTCCACATGTGACAGCTAAACCTTCATGTACACCTTCTCTGCAGCCCTGACTGACTAAACAACAGACAGGCAGTGTGTGTATTCCAAATCGTACAGGGACTGGGAAGAGACAAATTTACTGAGAAACTACAAGGTTTAAGCTTCAAAGTCCATCCCTTCCATCCCACAGTTTCATTCCTAGAAGTCCTATTTGGATTTTATATTCTGCAGGTAGGCCCCAAATTGGCTATGCTCCAGATCTATACAATAAGATTTGCTCTGGGGGGTAAGGCTGCCTTTTGGAGGAAATATGAAATTGGGAGTCAAACAGACCAGGATTCAAGCCTAGTCCCCTCTTTCAGTGTATCTTAATCTCTCTGATCTCTGTCCCTAATTTGTGAAGCTGGGACCAAAGTGGTAGTACCCATTGCTACTGGGTACATTAGCTACTTTATCCCTAAGAAAACACTTTAACATCCTTGCTCTCTCCAAACTTTAGGTCCTCCTTGTGAGTTTTGAGTCATCTAAACTCTTCTCATATTTTAGATGAAACCTAATAAAATGGAATTATTTTAAAATTTATGGACTGATGATGTAGCTCAGGCTGTAAAGCACTTGCCTACCATGTGCTAGGTCTGAGTTCATCCCCAGCACTGCAAAAAAATAAAATAAAATATTATAAAAGTTTTTGACATTTCTCAACATTTACAATCTTGCACCACCACCATCTTTATCAAGTCCCCAAACATTCAGCAGCCATCCCTCTCCCCAGTTCTAGTGACACCTCAAGCTGTCTGCATGACATGCTTTGGATTTGCATATTTATCTCAGATCTCATGGCAGAATATCTTGCTTATCTTTTAGAGTGCCATAGTCTGAAGTTCCACTTTGTCTCCCTGTTCCAACCTTGCCCACTCCTTGACCCAGTAATGTTCCCTGGCTGGGAGAGTGGTAACCAGGCCTGGGAGCCTAAGCAAGCACAGGACACTTCTGCCCTCTGCCTCCTGGGAACCTGGTCATCATGTTTAGGCAGAAGGAAACTGTCCAAGATGAATATTCACAAACTAATGTGAGTCTTCCAGACACAATAGGCTTTGTATTCACTCTTGTTTGTACAGCATCCAGGCAGCTTGGCAGCTGGTATAGGGACCCTATTGTGAGAAGGCATAGACCAGAATGAAAGCAGGATGAAAGGCTTCTTCCCTGCTCAGAATTATCTTTCCTACCCAATCAACACTGTCCATCTCTTGAAAACATGATTGCTGAACAAAGGTATGTGTTGGAGAGAGTGGAAGAGAATGTTCCAAGCCAAGGGAACAACATGTTCAAAGACCTCCAAAAGAACGAAGACTTACTATTGGAACTAACTAGAGCAGCTGACTGTGTGTGAGGAGTGAGTTGAGGCTCTGGGACAGGGGAACGCCAAACTACTGTCTTGACTCTGAGTTTCCTGGCCCCTGAGGGAGCCCTTCAGTAGTGATGGGGTTGGAGCCTTTTGACAATCTTCTCTAGTGCCCAGGACTCCCATTACTTACTATCAGAGTGTTTCCATCCTGGGCCCATCCTTCCCCTCTCTTCCCCTCAGAGCTCTGAGCTCCAAAGTGGCCTGATACCGTGCACATCTTGGTGAGTAAAGCCATTTCCCTGTGATTGATTGAAACTTTCAAAGCATTGGGACCATCCTGCCTCTTGCCCACTGGGAACTGCTCCAGGAAGCACTGGCCTTGCTGGGAGAGGGTAGCTGGTGGCAGCAGAGCAGGAGAACTGCATGTTCTCCTCCCCACCTCACAGGGGCTGTCCTGTGGGCCCCACCATTAAATGAAAAGCTGGAAACATAACCACAGATCAGGAGGCAATAAATGCTTGAGGCAAACAGTAGGGACTGTGAATAAGAAGGGAAACCCCTGTGTTCCTTATTGAGGTTTAAGATAATCACAACAGATATAGGCCTGAAGGTGGGGAAAGACAGAGGGCACTGTGGTGGCCATCGAGGTCAGCAATATATAGAATGGTATGGGGGGGGTTAGGGTGCAGAGTTGGTGCCTGTGGTCCCAGGCAATTTGTCAGTCATATTTGGAAACATCCCATGATCATGCTAGTGCATTTCAAAGTTGAAATGGCTCTTTAACAAGTCCAGTTGGAAGGATTGAGCAGGGTATAGCCACCTGACCTCTCAGTGGATGCAAGCTATGAGTAGGAGACACTGCCAAGGTGAACCTGACTGAGGGATGCCTGGAATCCCTAGAACAGCAGGAGCTCAGCCTCTAGGTTGAGGGAAACCAGTGAGAGTTCCAGACCCACATGGAAATGAAGTACCTGGGAGAGACAGCCCTGCTAACATCAACCCTGATCCACCACCCAACTCACCCTTGTGTCAGAAGCTTCTAGGATGACATAATCAGGCCTGAGGCATCTATGGAATTCTAAACTCCCTGAGCATTTGAGAGAGAGGCTGGTCCTGACTGATTCCCAAGGATAGCAGATCTGGTGTACTTGCCAGTCCAATGGCACCTCCTGGACAAACAGGAAGGGTCATGCCTGACCTATCTCCTCTCGGTTGTGTAGACCCATGTGACTGGGTTCAGCTAGAGCCTTGAGGGTTGTATAATATCCATGTCTTCCCATGAAAACATGCCTCCCTCCATCCTCACCCAACTTCTTACCATGATCCAGGGACCAAGAAGGAGAGAAGGTAGAGCAAGTCACTGTCCCAATTCTTCCCACAGGCTACATCCTGCCCCTATGCTCTGTAGCTCTGCAGTTCCTCTACTACAGAGCCAACTTCTCCCTCTCAGCCTGGATGTTTCCACAGGTGACACTTTCAGGCACTCAGAAAAGCTATTGCTCCTTTCTGTTATTGCCTTTTGTTCTACAATGACTTTGAAACCTGGCTAAGCTGGAAATGGATGAAGCCCAGTGTCCCTGGCATTTCATTCAACCAAGGACATTAGAAAAGGTAACCAGAGATCCAGAACACTGCCCAGCCAAGCTCAGCAGAACCTGCTTGGTTCACAGGAACTAAAGTGAAAGGTGTGCATCATTGTTTTTTCATTGGTTCTATGCAACATTATTATGTGACTGGATAAATGAAGAGGGGACAATCCAAAATGACTACAGCAGAGATGCCAGTGCCCACATCCTACCATCCTAACTGATGAACACAGACATGCAAGAACAATGAGCTTTTATTGTTTATACCACTTAAATATCAGGGGTTGGTTGTTACTAGAGAAGACAGGTCCAGATTCTTACTGATACACAGGGAAATAGATCACAGTCCCTCTTCCTGAGCAGAAGGAAGGTGGTACATTAAATCAACTTTAGGAATATCCAGTATCCTCCAAATCATGCTGTAGTAAATCTGGCTTTTCTTCTGGAAGCCCATAGCCTGGTAGAGTGCCAGGGCACTGTAATGCATTGTGGTAGTCTCAATGAAAACTTCATTGTAGCCCTGAACCCGGGCAAACTGGATGAGAGTCCTGACAAGGGCTTTTGCGATCCCCTTACCGCGGTGCTCCTTGGCCACTGAGAGGTGTAGCAGCTGCAATTGTTTCTTCCCTAAGGGAGGGTCTGCTACTGGGAGAGCACTCACTGTGCCCACCACCTGTCCCTCAAACTCAGCCACCCAGTAGCAGGAGCCACATGAACTCATGTAGTTCTTGGTGATGTCAGCCAGGTCTGTGCGCAAACATAGAGCTTCATGAACCTTCCAGGGAAAAGTAGCAAGCAGCCTCAGGAAAATAAGTAGGGTAAAGCTGGACATTATGGTCAGGAGCCAGGAGCTAGTGACTAGCAGTAAAGTGAGGGGCACTCCAAGTAAGAACAAGAGCGTTCGGGGCAGCATCAACATGTGGCGGAATGTAGCAGGGATGTGCTCAGTCATCCCACTGGAGAATAAGGCCAGAACACTGTCGTTGTCACTCTCCTGGTATTTGCGGATGTGATAAGAAGCCATGGGGGAGACTTCTGTGTCTGCAATCTCGAGGTCCAGGAGAGGCAGCTAGACCTGCCTGCACACCTTCCTGGAAACCCTGGAAAAGAGATAGGAAGCCACGTTTTAGTGTCCCCAGGCCACCAGGCCTCCCAGGGACTATGGAGAAACTGCCAAAGGGTGTGCCTCATAATACCTAATTGGAACTTGTGTTCATCCTCTCTAGCTGTGGGGCATTGGATATGTCGCTAAAGCCTGTGTGTCTTCATCAGCAGAATGGGGAAAATAATACCTGCTTTCTAGAGTTATTCTGAGGATTCAGTACAATATCTTAAATAAAGCTGCCATGTATCCAGTCCCTTCCCCTCCACCCTCATTGCCCCATTATGGGCTCTCTGAACTCTTGGTACATTAGGATGGTTCCCTGTGGCAGTCAAACCTCATTTTCCCAGTCCTTTGGACATTCTCCTGGATCCATATTAGAGGAATCCTGTGTTGCCAAGTACAAGTTTCAGCAAAGCAAAGCATCCTGCCTGATGGTAAAGGTTTAGGCTGCTGAGAAGGCAAAGGACCAAGCACCCAAAACAGCATGACCTTTAGATCCCCACCACAGTCCTTACTGTCAACCTGTTCGGAAAGCCCTGACCTTGCACCTGCATCCTCTCACCTGCTACCACAGAGACACAAGGTTCCAGAGTGGCCTCAGTCCAGACTGCGACTGGCACCCAGGAGAGACTGTCTAGTACCCTCCCTACTTCTGGGAAGAGATCTGGTTGTCCACATCATTGGTTGGCTTCTGGACACTTGTTAATCATAAACCTCAAGGACACAACTAGGTCATGTTGGAGAAGAGTCCAAGTCCACTCACTGTTTTAAACACCAGGTAAAAGATTTACAGGGAAGCAGGATCTGGAACGGAGGAGTGTTCTGCCTCTTGTGGGAGAACTGCCTTCTATTTCCTATTTGCTTAAAGCCATACTATCTCTCATCCAGCCCACTTGACCCTCTCTGAGGCCAGCTCTGATCCACTGCACATACAGACTAGCAACATGAACACTGTGCCTCTCACCCTGGGGTCTCTCACCCTGGGCAAGTGTTCAGGTTCCCTGACTCAGCAACAATGTACTTCACAGCTCTGCTTCTTCCTGCCCAAACTTTCCTGGTCTAGGTAAAATCCATCTTTGGCTGCCCTTTGAGCCCAAGGAATCAACACTTCAATGCAGATGCAGGAACACTGTGAGCCCAGGTCCTGAGGGTTCATGTCACTGAAAACTGCCTATAAACATAGACAGGAAACTGGGTGCCCTGCAGGATACAGTGGTTGAGGATAATCCTCAACACTGTGCATAAGTGAAGTGGCCTGTGAAGAAGAGAAATCCCAATATTCTGTATCTATGCATACTCTGGCCTCCACTCTGCACTATCTCTGGTTGTGCTTATTATGGGATAGGCAGGAGCAAGAGGTGGATGGTGGTGATGAAGGCCATTGGGGAAAGAATTAGGAGGAAACCAGAGAGCATGTTATAAGTTTATCATCTCTGAACACTGAGTGGGTTTTCCGCTGATTTCTCTATGGTTCCCTGAAGCAAATATATTTTTCAAGTTAAAGAGTCAAATTGGACCTTGATCTCCACCAAGTTGCACTGACTCCAGGGAAGCCACAGATTACTAACAGACCTGGAGCTGGTTGCCACTGTCACCCGTGTGTAGCATAGTACCACACATTTGGTTGATGAGCATTGACTTCACTTTCTCAGGCTACTTTCTTGTTCTTGACACATACTATCCTCTGTAGAGCTATGACAGCAGCATCATCCGTAAGATGTGTCCTTTGTATCATTGGTATAGAATGTAGAGAGCATTCAATTTTCCATTGGTGGCATTTTTAATTGCCCAGACCAGAGACATTAAACACATTCACATGTTGTGCAACAAAAACAGATTGCAGTGTTTGTCCTTCTTTCCTCCTTTTAGTCCAATCCAGGGCCTCAGTGCTCCTGGGTGGGAGGTTATAGCCAACAACCAAGGGAACCCCCAGAATGAATTATACGGGTGGGAGTTTCCCCACCACCCCCACAACTGGCACAAACAGCATGTATAATCAACCTGGATGACTTAGCTTCCCTGTTTCTGTTTGGAGTTGGAGGAAACATGGAGATGAAGACAGGCACAATTTGGAGGTTGAGGTGGGGCAGCCATGAGCAGTGTGGGCATTCCCAAGTGCAGTAGGGTTTGCAAAGATTCTGCACTTGAGTGGAGGGCAGCCTCAGAGAACAATACAGGGACAGATTCTCCTGGGTCCTCACTTCATGGTTGTTGCTTTAAGGGAACTGTGGGCTATCTCATTTCAAGGCAGAATTTCTTCTCCTGGTTTGGCTGAGCCATATTTGTGGGTTCATTTTCGAGGCTATTTCTTCAAATGTGTCTGTGAGCCAAGAGGTCCAAACTGTCAAACCTGATCATTTGTGAAATATCTTCCAGTTCAAAGACTTCCCAGTTCAAGTTCATACTAAGTTATGGAAGGAGTCCCAGAGCCTCCTGGGAAGCTGGCTGGAATTGGGCATTTGTTGCAGATCATGTCAGCATGAATCAATAAGGGGCTTGTGTGTGGCCTGGATGCAAAAGCTCTTATGAACCACATCTTGCTTGTGGCAGTGAGTAGCTGCCAAAGAATCCTATGTAAGGGAACAGGGAAAATGAATAACCCAGCCCTGGGAGCTACCTAGTATAACCTTTTCACTTCCTGAGGATCTTCTAGAAAGGAACATGCAGACCATTCATACATGATACTCAGCAAGTTGATAGTGGGGGTGTTGTAGTTTGGGCTTGGTATTGAGAAAGAGAAATTTTACCTCTGTAGACTTTGTCTTTAGCTCCAGAGGCCAGGTGGCATGACCCAGGAGTCTCACTGCTCTCAGAGCCAGGGAAACGACCAAGGGAAAAAAATTAAAAGGCTGCATTCTGCATGGCTAGACATTAAAACAGGGGTTTGGGGAGGCTGGAGTGTAATTCAATACTAGAGGTCTAGCTTGGTGTGAATGAGTCTTTGAGTTCAACACCCAGCAGCTAATAATAAAATCACACACACACACAGATAGAGAGGAAGAGTGGTCCTCTAATCTTTTTGTGAGCATTTTCTTTAGAAATGCTCTCAACCCTGTCCCTAATTGGTAAAGCTTGGGTCAAAGTGGCAGGACCCACTGGTACCACTCACAGCAGCCCCTCTCCCGAAGAAAACCCCTTGACATCTATTCTCTGTAACCTTTTCAATGCTTTTAGAATCATCTAAACTATTTTCTTCTAAATTTTTAGATGAAATCTACATAAAATTAACCTAATTAACATATAAAAGCTGTGCCATTTGGTTCATTCTCAATGTTGTGCTGCCACCATCTTTATCAAGTCCTCGAACATTGCCACCTACCCAAGAGGATGCTTATACTCCAGCAGGCATTTTTTTGCCACTGCTCCTTCTCCCCAATCCTTATAACACCCCAAGCTGCTGCACAACCTCCTTTGGATTTGCACATTTTATTTCAGATCTCATGGCCAAATTTCTGGCTTATCTTGTAGAGTACAACAGTCTGAGGTTCCTGTTTTCTCCCTGTTTCCTGTGACCCACTCCTTGACTCCATAATGCTCTGGCCTGAGAGAGTGGTGACCAGGCCTGGGAGCCTCAGGAGGCACAGAACACTCCTGCCCTCTCCTCCTGGGAACCTGGCCACCATATGCAGGCAGAAAGAGACTGTCCAGGATGAACACCCAGAAGCTAATGTTAGTATTGTGGACATAATAGAATTTGCATCCACCCTTGTTTGTGCAGGATTCCAGGCAACTTGGCAGCTAATGTGGGGACCTGATTGTGAATAGCCACAGATGAAATTTCAATGAGGGCCAGAATGCAAGCAGGATGAAAGGCTTCCTCCCTACTCAAATGTTATTTTCCTGCCCAGTCAATTCTGGGTAGCATGGTTGCTGAATGAACAAAGGTATGTGTTGGGAAGAGGGGAGGAGAGTGTTCCAGGTCAAGGGTACATTCTGTTCACAACCTCCAACAGAATGAGCGCTTCCTTTTGGAGCTCAGTAGAGCAGCTGGCTATGTTTACGGTCTGAGTGGAAGTGCTGGGGCAGGGGAAGACCAAGCTGCAGTCCTGTCTCTGAGATTCCTGGCACCTGATGGAGCCCTCCACCAGTGATGGGGTTGTACTCAGTGCCCAGGACCCACCAGTCCAGTGTGACAGTGTTTCCATCCTGGGCCCGTCCTTCCCCCTCTACCCCTCAGGCTTCTTAGCCCTAACATGTCCTGATACCAAGTACATGTGGGTGAGAAAAACCATTTTCCTGAGAGTTTTCAAAACACTGGGAATACTGTAAACCTCCCTCAGAATCTTACCCTCTGGGCACTGCCCCTTAGACCCTGGTCTCATTGGGGAAGGGAACTGGTAGCAGCAGAGTCTGGAGAACCTGCAGAACTTCCTCCTCTTGACCTCCCAGTGGTGTCCTGAAGACTTATGCACAATTCAGGAGGCCAAAGACACCTGATGTGTGTCACAAGATTGTGGGAATGGGGAGGGTCAGGGGAACAGGTGTGATTTCTTTTTTCTATGATAGCACAGGGAGGCAGGCCTGAGGGAGAGGGATGAGCTGACAGAGAGTTCTATGTTTGATCTTCAAGACCAGGGGCAGGAGAAAAGGATGGGGCAGTGGGAAGTTGAGGCTGTGGTTCTGAACAACTAGTCACTCATGGACCCAGTCCACGAGCATGGTTAAAGTTTTCTGTGTAGGGGAAATGGGTATATGACAAGGCTGGATGCCAGGATTGGACAAGCTGTGGCCCAGGGAGACAGGAGAAATGCCAGAGAAGGGGAATATCTCCCATGCTGATCAAATATCAAAAGGTAACTAAGGTTTTCTGGGATTCACCAGATTTGGAATTGTGCCTCTGAGTTGGACAGATCAAGTAAGAGGCTCCAGGTGGCCATGAACATGCCAGAGTTCCCATCCTAAACAGATGGGAAAGGGCAACAGTCCTGAAAACATCAGCCCTGACCTATGTCCCAACTCTTCCTTGTACAGGAGGATCTATTCTGAGGTACCTTTTAAAATCTGGAGTTTGTGAGCATTTGGGGACAGTGTCTGGGACCAGGCTATGTGCCGATCCAGGTTAATTTTGGGACACTCACCTCACTATGACTCCTTCAGGATACATAGGAAGGCTCCATACATGACCTCCCCTCAGTCAAGGTGGCCCATGGGAATGGGCCCTGCCTGCACCACAGGATTGCACCATACCCATACCCAGGTCTCCTGATGGAAACATCCCCCTCCATCCACAGCTACCTTTCCACCCCTCTGCAGGGACATGGCACCAGAGTGAGTGCATTTCTGCTCAGTTCTTCTCATAGGGCCACATTGTGCCCCTCTGCTCTGTGATTCTGCAGTTCCTCCACTACTGAACCAGTCTCATCTCTCCTGAGTCTGGGATGTTTCCACAAGTGTCACCTGTGGGGACATGGAGAAGTCTTTGTTCTTTTCTCATTTTGGTTTGGTTGCTCTGAAATGACTTTAAACCCTGCCTGAGCTGGCCTGCTGGGACAAGATGACACACATTATAACCAGTACTGCAGTCAATCCTGGCCATTTGCATAGATATCCTGAGACCCAGAGAGCTGCCCAGCACAGACCAGAAGAAAACTGGCTCACAGACTCAAGCAACGTGTGTGCACATTATCATCTCGGCTTGTTATTTATACATTACTGTGGTGATAGACAAAAGAATCACTGTACCTAGAAGCACTGAATGGAATAGAAGCCCCCACACCTCACCATCAAACATGTTGGACTCAGATGTGCACTAGCAAGGAGTTTTCATCATTTGTTCTACCAAAATGCCAGGGTTTGCTTGTGCTACAGGATTGTCAATCAGATCCTGACTGATACACGAGACAATAGCTCATGGGCCTCCTTCCTGAGCAGATGGGAGGAAGTATGTTAAACGAATGGTAGAAAGGTACACTAGTCTAAAGACCTTGTTATAAAAGTACTCTCCTGTCTTCTGGAAGCCCATGCGCAGGTAGAGGGTCAAAGCAGCCTGCTGTACTATGCTAGTATCAAGGACAACCTCATTGTAGCCCTGAGCCCTTGCAAACTGGAGGACAGTCATGACCAGGGCTTTCCCTAGTCCTTCACCTCGGTGCTCCAAGGCCACAGAGAGGTGAAACAGCTGCAGTTGCTTCCTCCCTGGGGGGGCATCCTTCACTGGCAAAGCACCCACTATGCCTGCCACCTGCCCCCCAGACTCAGCCACCCAGAAGCAGGAACTACGGGCCCTCAAGTAGGATTTGGTGATGTCAGCAAGATCTGTCTGCAAACACATGACCACGTACTTTCTCCAAGGCTGTCTGGCCAACAGCCATAGGAAAACAAGGAAGGTGACATTGGATACAAGAGCCAGGAGCCAAGAGCCAGAGGCCAGGAGTAGGGTGATGGGCACCCCAAGTAAGAGCAAGAATGTTTGTGGCAACTTCAGCATGTGGCGAAAGGTGGCAGGGACATGCTCGATCATCCCTTTGGAAAACAAGTCCAGGACCCTTTTGTGGTCAGTCTCCTGGTATTTGCGGATGTGATGAGGTGCCATGGGGAGACTTCCGTGTCTGCAGTTTCCACAAGTGACAGCTAAACCTTCATGCATGCCTTCCCTGCATCCCTGGAGGAGAGAGAAGAAGCCATGTGAGTGTCCCAGACCTCCCCAGAACTTAGGAGACATCTCAACTGTGTGTCTTTACTGTGGCCCAAAAAGAAGCAGGCCACCACCAGTGGAAGGAGGTGTAGGATCAGAAACACCTGCTGGATGTTGGAACCTTGGTTCCTTCCATTTCTAGCTATGTGTCCTTGGGCATGTCACTTAACCTCTGAGCCTCTGTTGTCTTCCTCTGCAGAACAGGGTAAAATAACAACAGCCTTCCACAGTTGTTTTGAAATTTAATAGAATGATTTATATAAAACACTGATATATACAGTCCCCACCCCTCTGTGTGAGTCAGCTTTTCATTTTGTGATCAAAATACCTGAGAACAACAACTAGATGAGGAAAGATTTATTTTGGCTCACGGTTTTAAGGTTCAGTCCTTTGTCAGCTGGCTCCAGGGCAGAAACATCACAGTAGAAGTTTGTGGCAGAGGAAAGCTGAATTCAAAGCAGTCGGGAAACTGATAGAGGGCCAGAAAGAGAGACAGTGAGACGGAGAGAGAAGAGGGGCCTGGGAGAATAATACCCCTTCCCACCACGCCCCCAGTGACCTACTTCCTCCATCCGGGATCCACCTCCCAGTAGTCTATTCAGCTATCAAAGGATTAGTCCATTAAAGGAAGATTTTTGAGCGTGTGTGTCGGGGTGTGGGAATAGTAAGGTTTGAATCTGGAATGTTCCCCAACAGCTCATGTGTTGATAGCATAGTCAATGTAGCAAAGTTCGGAGTGGGACTTTTAGGCTCATGAAGGCTCTGGCCTCATCAGTGGATTAAACCATTAACAGCTGAATGAACTACTGGAAGGTGGGAACTAGTAATAGGAAGTAGGTCACTGGGGGCGTGCCCTAGAGGGGTTTGTCTTTCCTCCACCCTTTCCTCTCTCTCCTTTGCTTCCTGGCTGCTGGAGTTTAGCAGCTTACCTCTGCCATGACTCATCTCCATCCGGTTTCTACTTTAGAACAAGATGACCATTGATTGGATCCTCTGAAAACATGAGCCAAAATTAATCTTTCCTTCCCTAAGTTGTTCTTGTCAGGTATTTTAACTGCAGCAACAAAAATATGACTTCACAGCCTCCAACCTCATTAGTATATTATGGGCTCTCTAAATTTATTGGCACATGTAGATAACACCCTATGACAGTCAGTACTCATGTCCCCAGGCCTTTGAGCCCCCACCAAGGTGCATATATTGCAAAAATCTTGTTTCCAATTAGAAGTCTCACCAAAGCCTCCTTTCCCCAGTGCTAAGGATTGGTCTGCTGGGAAGGCAAAGGGCCAAGCACATAGGACAGTGCAGCCTTCAGATCCCTAAAATATTGTGGGACTCCATTCAACACTGAGTCCTACAGCTATGTACCCCTCCACTCACTGGCTTCCCCAAAGCTGAGAGTGACCAGGGCAGCATCATCCCTCAGCCTCCAGCTGGCATTCAGGAGAGAATGTCCAGGGTCTGTCCACCTGTGGGTAGCCAATATGGGTGGCCACCACATTGGCAGATTCATGAATGTTTCATAATCAGAAATCCCAAGGGCACGTTGCTGGGCTATGACCATGCAGGGAGCCCAAGTCCATGCACCTTCATGAAGACTGGGAAATGAAACTGTGAGATGGGGGTCAGCAGGATCTGGACCAGCGCCTGGCTCCTACCCTAGGAAGCTTGGCACCTCAGGTCACAACATCTCTCACAAAGCCCACCCAGGTCTCTCTGGGGTCCACCCCAGTGCTCTCCCACACCCAGGAGTCTGAGTACTGTGCCGCTAACCTCGGGCTCTCCTCACAGGCAACAGATGAGGGTCCCTGGCTCAGCAACAAGGTGCTTCCCAGCTGGGCTTCTCTCTGCCCAGCTTTACCGGTCTGGGTAAGATTCTGGGTAAGACTCTAGGCAGTCCCCACACTCACCTCCTCTGCAGCCTCTCTTCTCCTTCATTCACACACTGAGCAATGCTCTTGACACTGCTGTGGGGCTGCAGGGGTCCTTTTCAGCCACCAGCAATGCTGCCAGCTGACGGGCACCCAACAGTAGACAGCTGCCGTGTGCAAAAGAGGAGGCCTGGGGACTGCAACACCACAGGGCACAATTTCTGTGTCGAAAGTGTGGGACTGACTGAGGCCTGGAGTTCTCTGAGGAGGCCTGGTGTAGGTATATTGAATGTGATGCTGCAGGTAGGACATGGATGCCTCACGGTACCATATGGGGATGGGATGGAGTAGGATGTAGGGGACCAGGAAGCCATGGCCTCAGGGAGGAGGCCACCAAACTGCCTCAAAGCCTTGGGGAAGCTTATGAAATCTAAGTTGTAGTGAAAGAAATTCATTTGCTGGGAAGCTACAAAACCTAAGCTTCCATATCCCTCCCTCCCTTACAGGGCCCCTTCCAAGATTTCATATTTGGATTTGCAACATTGTATTCTGCAGGTAGTCCCCAAATTGGTTATGCTCAGGCTCCCCACTACCAGGTTTGCCCTGAGGGCAGGCCTACCTTTTGGAGGAAATATGAATTTAGGAGTCAAACAGACTTGGGTTCAAATCCTAGTTCTACCTCCAATATATGTCTTCTCCTCTCTGTACCCTGTCCATGACTAGGGAAGCTGGGGTCAAAGTGGCAGTGCCCACTGGTTGTATGCATAATGGTTACCTCTTTGAAAACTTCAACATCGTTTCTCTCTCCAATCTTTAGGTCCTCCTTATGGATTTAGAGACATTTAAACACTTCTCTTTGCTTCAAATTTTTTAGATGATAACAATATAACATGAAATTAGCTGACTTAAAGTGTAAAACCTGTGGCAATGGTATATTAACCATGTTATGCCACCACCACCCACATCGAATCCCAAAACATCCTCTTCAGCTGAATAGGGACCTTGGATTATAGTGGCCAATCGTCGCCATTAATCCTACTCTCTGAGATTCTAGCAACACCCTATATTGTGTGCCTAAGCAACTTTGGATTTGCAGTTTCTACCAAAACTCATGGCAAAATTCCTTGTGATCTTGTAGAGTTCTGCAGTCTGAGAGTCTACTTTATCTCCCTTCTCCTCTTAGCTCATCCCTCGACCCAGGAATGCCCTCCCCATTGCACAAACACAGGTATTGGTTACATAATAGTCTGTGTCCACCCTTGTTTTCAACAGGCATTCAGTGAAAACATTGGCAGTTTTGGGAACCCCACCATGAGGAGCAACAGACTAAATACCAAGGAGAACGCAAGGCAAGCAAGTCGAGGGCTTCCTCCCTGGTCAGAAGTGAATTTTCCAACAGAGTCATCCCTCACCTGAAAGCAGTGGTGCCCGGTGAACCAAGGTATGGTGAGAAAGACAGCGAATATTCCAGGCCAAGGGAATATGGTACCCAAAGGCCTCCAGCAGAATGGGAGCTTCCTTACTGAGTGATCTAGAGCAGTTGACTAGGTTTGTGGAGTGAGGACAGAAGTTAGAGCACATGGCCAAGCTGAAGTCCTTTCTCTGTGTTTCCAGAGGCAGAGGATCTGGTTCCTGCAGGAAGCCCTCAACCATTGTTGGGGTTGGCATCTTTGGATGGCCTTCCTCAGAGCCCAGAACTCCCTCATCACTTTACCATGACAACATTTCCATCCTGGTCCTTCCTTGGCCTCCTTGCAGCTCTGGCCTTTGACTATGTCCATCTGGCAGCAGTAAAACTCATTCCCTTCTATTGAATGAACCTCTCAAGTCACTGTGGACTTTCTTCATGTGAGTGCCAGCTCTGTGCCCACTGGGAGTTGTCCAAGAGACACTAGTCTTACTGGGCCAGGAGAGTTGCTGTCAGCAGAGAAGGGGAGAACCTGTGCCGCAGTCTGGCTGGGCACAATCAGGAGCCACTTGTCAAAAGAAACTAACTTTATTTTTAGAACCACACACGCCAAACAAAACAGCCTCTCAGGAAAAACCCTCAGAGCCCCAACTGCCACCACCGGCTTTCCACAAACCTCTCTCTCCAACCCAAGCCTCTCTCTCCACCTCTCACAATCCTCCTGCTCTTGAGGCCGATTGGCTGGGTCACGTGGGCAGAGCCAAAAAAGTCCCCCAATGAGCAGCTCCGTGGTCTGAAAGGGCAGGGAAACAGCCCAATGAGCATCACCGCAGAGGAGCCAATCAGCTAGATGTTGCTGGGGCCGCTGTGAGCCAATCATCAGCCGGCAGCTGGAAGTTTGCTGGCAGCTGGAAGTTTGCTGGCAGCTGGAAGTTTGCTGGGGCCCCTGCAGCTGTGGCTCTCAACAAACCTGCATGGCAGACTCCCCTCCAACTCAAAGGGAAAGTCCTGATGGACCCAACATTAAGTAAAAAACTAAATTAAAATTCAGACATATGATGTGAATAGCAGGGGAAGGTTGGAGGAAGGGAACAACCATGTGGATTGTTGAGGTTTTAGAGAAGCACAAATGAGATAGAACTGAAGGTGTGGTTAGGCTGTCACAGAGTGTTGCAGATGGCCATCAATGCCAGCAACACTTTGAATGGCATTGAGGGGTCAGAGTTCAGCTTCAGGGGTTTGTATAACAAGTTACTTATGTTTGGCATGATCCCATGGCTTGGTGAAGAGTCTTCACCTAAGTGAAATAAGCCTGTGACACAGGTCTCTTGGCAGGGATCAAGAAGGAGAGAAGGTAGAGCAAGTCACTGTCCCAATTCATCAGACACGATTTATCCTGCCTGATGTCTCAGTGGTGGTGAGTTATAAGTAGTAGACACTGCCAAGAGGGTAAATGACCTCCAAACTTCTCTCAAGTCACCAGAACCTGACCAAGGGGTACCTGAACTTCCTGGAACAGCAGGAGCTCTGCCTCTGGGTTCAGAGAAACCAGTGAGAGTTACAAAGGGACAGCCTTGTTTACCTAATGAGCACTGACCCACCACCCAACTCACCCTTGTGTCAGAAGCTTCTAGGATGACATAATCACTCCTGAGGCATCTATGGAATTCTAAACTCCCTGAGCATTTGAGAGAGAGGCTGGTCCTGACTGATTCCCAAGGATAGCAGATCTGGTGTACTTGCTAGTCCCATGGCATCTTCTGGACAAACAGGAAGAGTCATGCCTGACCTACTTCCCCTCAGTTATGTGGGTCCCCATGACTGGGTTCAGCCAGAGCCTCAATCGAGGGTTGTACCATATCCATGTCCTCCCATGAACACATGCCTCCCTCCATCCTCACCCACCTCTTGCCATGAGCCAGGGACCAAGAAGGAGAGAGGGTAAAGCAAGTCACTGTCCCAATTCTTTCCACAGGGCTGCATCCTGCCCTATGCTCTGTGGCTCTGCAGTCCCCTACTATGGGTCCAACTACATTTCTCCCTCTCAGCCTCGAGGCACTAGGAAAAGCTATTGTTCCTTACTGCTATTGCCTTTGCTGTTCTCCAATGACCTTGAGCCCTGCTTAAAGTCAAAATGGATGAAGCCCAGTGTCCCTGGTACTTCATTCAACCTAGGACATTAGAAAAGGCAACTTGATACCCTATGCACTGCCCAGCCAAGCCCAGCAGAAACTGCTGGTTCAT